TCTGCCCTTCTCCTCCTCTTTTCTCTCTGGAGACACAAACACAAGATGCAGATGAAGTCACTGAAGAACGTCAGCATGGATGCCCACATCAAAGCCATGAAATATATTCTGTCCTTTTTCTTCCTGCACAGCATCCACTTTATCTGTTTGGTCTTGGTAATGATTTATGAATCAAATGAGGCAAATGCTGTGAACATTTTCCTTCTATTCTTTGAGCATGCTTTACCAGCAGTTCATTCTCTGATCCTGATTTTCAGCAATCCCAAACTGAAAAAGACACTGCTGACCCTGTCCTGTGTGAAGTGCAAGATTTGCATGAGGCAGGAAATGTCATAAAAGCTGGACCCCATTAACAATGTTCTTTGATCTCCATTGCACCCTTTCAGCCAGAATAGGTAGTATAAGTGTAGCTTTACCATCTTATAATTCCTTGAAGTATCTTAGTGTGAATTACATTAATTGCTATTTAATTTGGTGTAGATATTTTTTAGAGTTGAAATACTGTCAATAATCAAGTCATTGAGACCTGGTTCACGGACTTAGCTGCAAAATAGGCCTAACAATACCACAAACCTTCTAAAAATGCATAACTGTTTTCTGATTGAAACTACTTCATTAAACAAAATGTTGACATCTAAGTTACTCTGTTATTTTACCCTGCTGTGGCTGGGTGCTTTGGAATACTAGGAGTCGTGTCACTGCCTTGCCTTGGTTTAAAAGTTCTGTGTGCATATGTTGATCCCTGTTATTCACCAGAGGTGGTCACTGATGTACAAACTGCAATGCAGAAATGCCTTTAGCTGCAATTGCACTTTCTGTGCCAAAATCCACCAAGTCCCACTCCCACAGCAGGAGACACTCTGCACAATTGCAAAGTGCTTCTTTGAGCAGAGACTTAGAAGCTCTTCCAAATGGATAGGCAAGACATGAGATGTGGTGTGGTCACCTTGTCTGTTGGGGAGTGCTTCAGCTGTACAGAGCTCAACAATTGTGATTATATTCATAGAATCACATAATGGTTTGGGATGTAAGGAACCTTTAAAATTATCTACTTCCAACCCACCAACATGGGCAGGAATACCTCCCACTATACCAGGTTGCTCCAAGCCCCATCCAACTTGGCTTTGAAAACTTCCAGGGAGGGGGCAGCCACAACCTCCCCCTGGGAAACCTGTTCCAGTGTCTCAGCACCCTCACACTGAAGAATTTCTACCTAATGTCTAACCTAAATCTACCCTCTTCCAGCTTAAGAACATTATCCCTCATCCCCTTGAAACAGAGCATTAACCACACTCTGACTTCAAATAGTTAAATGCTTATAGGGTGTAAATCTTCCATTTGGGCCTCCTGCTAGTGAGTTGTGGAGCCTTTTGTGTGAGCTTATCTGTAGTTTTAGGGAAGAAATACAAGGGTCCTTGAAGAAGAAAGAAGCCATTCAACTGTGACCAGGGATGCCTCCTGTAACCAATTCTACTGCAGAGTCAGCAGAGATAAACAGGAGAAGAGACAGAACTCGGCCAAAGGTTCCTATGAGGAAGACTCAAGGATGAAGTAAATGACCCACAGGAGACCCTCATGGACTTAACTCTCAGAAAGGAGTGGAAGAGACACTGGGCTGACCACAACCCCCCTTCACATTCCCCTGCACCACTGATGAGGAGGAGATAGAGAAGCTAGACATGAAGGAGAGAAACTGAGCCTGGGAGATGGGAGGAGGAGGTACAATGTTCTAGTTTTGTCTTTGTTCCTCACCATACTACTTTCTTTTCAGTTGGCAATAAATTAAATTGGTTTTCCCCATGTCAAGTCTGTTTTACCTGTGGCAGTAATTAGTGAGTGGTCTTCCTGTCTTTATCTCGACCCATGAGCTTTCCCATCTTATTTTCCACCCCTGTCCTGTCAAGACAGGAAAGTTAGGGAGCAGCAGGGTGAGGGTCTGGCAGGTGGCCAAGGTCAACCCACCACAGCAGATTGTCTAAACATCAAATTCTGTAAAAGCAGAACCTGAATCGTTCATTTCTTTCACCAGTTCAGGCCCAGAGGAACATCTTATCTCATGCCAAGGGCCAAATGTGCATTTTTCATGCATCTTGGTGGGTTTTTTCCTTTTGAAAACACTCACCCAGAAGGAGTACATTTGGGGCCTCAAATTTCAGAGGTCTTCTGAAGCTCTGCAGAGTTCAGATATACCCAGAATTCACTCCAGGGAGTCATGTTAGATGTAGCATCAGCCCTGCTGGACGTGGATTCACTCTGTCAGAAGCCCTTGACCTTTCTTTCCGCTGTGTTTTCAGGAACAACCTTTAATAAACTTCTACTAGCAGAAGGCTTCTCAGACCTTCTTTGCCCCTGATAAAGGAGATGTGGTCATCTTGTAGGACAACAGTGTGAAGCATTCACTAATTTCTCTGTACTTTCTATTAGAAATCAACACAGTCAAAGAGTTTCTACTCAAAGAACACGAGCGGCCCTGGGATGCTGATGTGAAAAGTTGAAGTGAAGGTTAAAAAGCTTAGTTTGTAACCTTTTAAATGTAAGGGTTGCCTTTCCCGTGGGCAAAAGAACATTCCCTTCTCTCTTTCTCCCCATCCCCACAAAAAATGAAAGGGAAAAAGGTTAATAAGAAAGTATAAGAAAACATTTTCAAACCATTAGCTTTCACTCTTTTCTGGGTTTTTTTTCTCAGTAGTAAAACAAACAAATAAAAAACTCCCAGTCATGTTGTTCTGCTAAGAAATAAGGGCTTAAGTCGTCTGATGTTCTCACAAAAAAGAACGCAGACCCAGCAAACCACACTGAAGTACCTTCTTACATCTCCATGAAGCCCCCATGAAGATGATGCCCACCACAGCATCACCCCCTCCATGCACCAGCCCCATCCAGCTGGCACCAGAGGAGACAGGTTATAAAAGAGCATGGCCACAGTGCACAGCCCATGTGCTAAAGTTGCCCTCTGGAGAGATGCAATGGTCTACCCAACCCTGGGGACAATGTTCCTCAAGTACAGGACACTCCACCAGCTGGGCCCAGGACTAGAAACAGGCCTGTTTAGTTTATCAGCATGGCAACAGGCACTCTGCTCCACATACATCTCCATTTGCACTGTCACTAACTCAACAGCCAGGCCAACTGCGAATGGAGTTGACATTTCACACTGCTGGGAATGGACAAATGACAAAATAAAAGATAGATCTTGACTTGTTTGCCCAAACATTGTCATCCTGAGTCATCCAAAGAGTCCAAGGGTATTTGAGACATCTGGACAGGGTTGGGAGCTACAGCACAGGATCTTCTGCAGACCTGTAGGGTCAGCCTGGGTACTCAAGACCCTCTCAAGTGGCATGAGACACTGCTGTGTGGACAGCTGAAATAGTCCCTGGGAATCTAGAAGAGAGAGATAGATCAGAGAGCTGCTGATTGTGAATATGATGCCTGAGTGTCGTGGCTGGGTGCAAATGACACCTGTAACCAAGGCAGTGCTGAAGGACCAGATGTGAGTAGTGGAGGGGAAGCAGAAGGGAACGGAGGTGGATGTGAAAGGGGAGGGGAAGCAGACACATTAAAAATGTCAGAAGTCAATGTGAATGGCTGCCCAGTGTTGGCGTGGGATGGAAAACCTTGGGTCAAATTCCAATTTTTCATGGTTGAGAAATGAAACAGGTTAAAAATGTTTTTACCATGAAGAGTGTTGATGAGTACAGGGAAAGCTCAGGACCAGTTCCACAGCATTCCTATGAGCATAGACATACAAATAGCTGGGAGCACTGCTAAAAATAAGGCAGTGCTGTAACTGTCTTGGCAATCACATGTCTCAAAGTAGCCATGAGAGAATGTTTTCCTTTCTGCTGGGCCAGGAATGGTAGATAGAGGCTGCTAGACCCATGTGTCCTGTAAAAGATCAACATCAATGTCTGCCCTTCAGCCAGAAGAAGTAACTACACCCAAACCACTCCCAAAGTGAAGAGGGAAGCTGCACCAGAGGCTATGAGCCTCTGTGGAATCCCCTGATTGACTCATGACCAGAAACAAACAAGTGAAAGCCACAAGCATCAGCAGAGTGAGCACAATCACAGTTCCAGATGCTTTCATGAATCAGTTAGGAGCAAAACCATCTCCCTCTCAGACAATACAGGTAACTCCTGTCGTTTCTGTAAATGATGCATTTCAGTAGCTTAGATTATTAGATTAAACAACATCTGCAGTTTTCTGACACTTGAGATCTGATACCTATGGACATGCAGACAGACAGAAGCACATCTACCTGCTCCCTATTAATGACAATATTTACAGGACACCACAAAATGCACCCGTGTGTCCATGTGCTGCTCTTGGTCATCCATATTTCCCCCTGCAGATGCACCTGAGGTCTTCCAGTGTCTTTGCTCTGCATTGCAAGTTCTCACTGGCACCAACCAGTCAGGGAACACTGCTGTTTCCTCCTTTTTTATTTTTTATTTTTCTTTTGAGTAGAGGATGTGCAGTTCTCCTGAGAACATGGTGGATTTCTCTTCAGCTCTTCTTTCTTGAGTTCCCAGTCTTCATCTCTCTGGTCTAAGGGGATTCCTTTCATTGCAGCTGTCCTGTGATAGTTTCTGCTCTCCACCTCTGCTCTGGGGAAGAAAGCAAAGAGTGGATCTTCAGATACTGAGCACAGCACAGTCACACCACTGCTCATGAGTGCCCATCTCCAGGACACCTGTCCCATTTCAGGGCATCATGTATTTGTATGCTCAAAACATTGTTGCCTGCAATATATGAGAAAAAGCTGAGACTCATCCCAAATCCAACAGCATTCATCACCCCAAGTGACCAGGTCATCACTGAAAGATGTGCTGAAGTGGGAAACCTTCAGTAAGGATCTATGGTGAAATCAGACTTTTACCACTGACAACATAATTTTAACAATATGAAGCTCTCAAAGACTGATCTTGTGGATTTCTGTGCTATTAAATAGACTTAGGCACATTTAATGCAGTTGCAGAGTTTATACTGCTCATTCTTATGGTTTGCTAAAATTAAAACTAGGTTAGGTAAAATGGTACTAATTCCAGAAAAGTGAAAGTTCCTGTGCTCTCACAGATGTGAGGTGTTTAAATGCATTAGCAAGGCACTTCTAGTGAGGGTTGGGAGGCCCCCCCCGTAGTGCTCTGTCCAGTTCTGGACCCCCCAGCACAGGAAGGACATGGAGCTGTTGGAGCGAGTCCAGAGAAGGGCCACAAAGATTTTTAGAGGGCAGGAGCAGCTCTGCTGTGGAGACAGGCTGAGTTGCTCAGCCTGGAGAAGAGAAGGCTCCAGGGAGACCTTAGAGCACCTTCCAGTGCCCGAGGGGGCTACAGGAAAGCTGGGGAGGGGCTTTTTACAAGGGCATGGAATGGTAGGACAAGGGTGACTGTCTTTAAACTGGAAGAAGATAGATGTAGGTTAGATATTAGGAAGAAATTCTTTAGTGTGAAGATGGTGAGACCCTGGCCCAGGCTGCCCAGAGAAGCTGTGGCTGCCCCATCCCTGGCAGTGTTCAAGGCCAGGCTGGATGGGGCTTGGTGCAGCCTGGTCCAGTGAGGGGCTGACTCTGCCCACGCAGGGGGGTTGGAACTAGATGATCTTTAAAGTCCCTTCCAACCCAAACCATTCCATGACTCTATAGCAGGAGAGTTTTATGTAGTTTCAATGCCTGGCACTTTGCAGAGAGGCTGGCAGCAGGCAGGAGCCACAGGTCTCTGTCACCTCAGTGCCCCCCACAACAGCTCTCACAGCATCCTGGGCAAAGCTCTTCTCATGCAAAATAAACCATCTGATGCAAATTGCATGTTTGTTACTCAGAAGCAGCTGTGTTTTGAAGGCTGTTTCTTTGCATGTCCATGCAAACCTCAGTGAGTGTTACTGATACTCTGTAGCAGAATAGTCCTAATATTTACATGTTAAAAATATTTACATGCCAGTCCATGTCTCATTTGCATGTCGATGCAAATCATCCTCAGCACAGGTTCATGCAGCCAGCAGCACCTGGGGGCAGACACAGTGTACAAGGATCACCGTGGTGCTAGAGGGGGCTGAACAGGGATTTAGGGGATTTGGATGCTCATATGCCTGTTTAGATTTGCATGTCAGCCCTGTGTTTGGCACAGGCTATTTTTTAAATCGCCTTGTCTTCTTTTGCGTGGCAGGCAAATGTCTGAAACTGATGGGGATGCTCTGCAACAAAATATCCCTCATATTTGCATTCCAATCCCACAGGCACCAAGAGTTGAGGGCAGACCTACTCTGTGCTGCACAGCATTGGCGTGCAGACACACACACTCCATTTTCTGCCTGCAACTCACACCAGTGCTGCCCAGCTCCCACCAGAACCATGGAGCAATGTCTGACCATGAACATCACCCCTGGGACCTTCTGCACACCTGAAGCAGAAGGTAACTATGATTATACTACAAATGTCAGCACCTCCTCCTAGTTAACTCCAAGTTTGCTGATGTGAGGAGGTGAAATTGTTGGTTAGGGGTGAAGGTGAGGGTGGTTGTAAATTGTAGTAGGAAATTGTAGCCTTTTAAAAATGGTTCTCGAGCTCAGTGATGAACTCCTGGCTGCCCACAGGCTGTGTTATGGCTGTGAGGTGACCACAGAATCATCATAGAATGGCTTGGGTTGGAAGGGACCTTAAAGATCATCTAGTTCAAAGGCACGGGCATTCAAGGCATCTTCACAGGTATTGAATTCTCCCAACCATGCTCCCCAGCTGAGCCTCAAAGCTGCCAGGTGGGTCAGGCCAACACGCCGCTTTGAAAAACAAGTTTTCACCTCAGAAAACCCTCAACCTGAGTTGCCCTTGCCTGTTGCCAAGGTGGTGTCAATCATCCTGTTAATCATCCTTTCAACCCAGCCACCTCCACCAGTGCTGGCACCTCTGCATCACCCATGGGCATCACCCAGACAGTTCCCCCACCCTTGCTGTCACCCCACCACCAGGGCCTGGGTGCACAGCCACATACACAGCAAATGCTACAGCCTTGGCAGGACTTCATGGTGAGATTAGTGCAAAAACGATGGTGTGGAATAGGTAAACAATGGCTGTAAATTATTAATTGAGGGCAACAAGCCTGCAAGACCTTTCACTCTCCTGGACAGACAATGTTTACCTGTTCTGATTTAGAAACCAAGCAAGCCAAGGTCTGAGAACAGGAAAAAGAGACAACCCTCCTTTGGAAGAAACTGCCCCATTATCAAAGAACTGGCAAACCTGAGCTTACCCCAGAGAGGTCCTAGGTAGTAAAAAAACTAATCAGCAAAACTTAGGTATCACCTGCTTGATTTTTTAAATTGCTTTATCTGCAGGTCTAAGGGCAGTAAGAGCTAATTCCTCTGTGTGAAAGGAAGGTGGTGAACAGTGAGGGTTTGCAACATGTCAGCTCCATGAACAGCAAGGATTTTAGCTGTAAGGCTTCCTGGATATGAAAGGTCCCATCAGTTTCCATACAGCCAGAGCTTAAAAACAGGGACCTCTGACTCCCCTACAAAGTTTGGGGGGCTCTGTACAGGGGGATTTTGCAGAGTTTGGGGTGTTTCTTCCTATGGAAGGACACTGATGCTATGTCAAGACAAAAGGTGGGCATGGAGTACTTCAGGAGGAACCAACAAGCTGTAGACATGCAGCAAAAGGACAGCAGGACCTACAGAAAGAATTAGATGGAAGAACATGGAGATACTGGAGTGTGTCCAAAAAAGGGCAGCCTAGCTGGTGAAGGGTCTGAAGAACAAATCTTATGAGGAGTGACTGGGGGAACTGGGGTTGTTTAGTCTGGGCTGTAGGCAGACCTTCTTGCTCTCTACAACTGCCTGAAAGGAGTTTGTAGTGAGGTGGGGGTCAGTCTCTTCTCCCAAGTAACAAGCAATAGGACAAAAGAAAATGCCTTGAAGTTGCCCCAGGGGAGGTTTAGATTGGATATTAGGAAAAATTTATTCGCTGAAAGGCTTGTCATACCCTGGAAAAGGCTGCCCAGGGAAGTGGTTAAAACATCATCCCTGGAGGTGTTTAAAAGCCACATACATCTGGTGCTTGGGGACATGGTTTTGTGGTGACCTTGGCAGTGCTGGGTTAATGGTTGGACTTCATGATCTCAAAGGTCTTTTCCACCCAAAACAATATGATTCAACAAAGGTAGCATTTGGCAGGCACTGGGGACCACAAACACTTGCCCAGCCACCATGCCTGATTTTGAACTTGGCAGCTCTTGTGCTGAACTGGCAAGCTGTAGACTTTAGGTTGGATATGTGTCTAGAAAAAAAACCCCATGACTTACATGGTGCCACAGCAGTGTTGAGAATGTGGCAGTGGTAAAATGATGCCAGTTATGGACTCCAGTGGGACTGTAAATTCACAGAAAAAGTCAGGGGAGGAAAAGCCTTTGGTGCCTTCAGCATGCCAGGGTCTGGTGCATGCAGGTCTCCCAGCCTGGTATTTAAATATCAGGTAACCTGTGGGAACTACAATTTGCACTGAACAAGCAGTTTAGCCTCTGTTCATCTGTCCCACTGCTTTAAAGGTATGTGTGGGACATAGCTCAGACCCATATTTGCTTATCTACTACTTGGGCTTGGTGGCTTTAATGGGCTTTAGGTGGAAAGGTAAGTCCCACCCTCTTATTGGTTCAGGCCCTCTTCTAGACTGATTAGGGGTTTGGAGAGCAGGTCTGATGAGAAGAGGCTGAGGAAGCTGGGGCTGTTCAGCCTGGAGAAGAGGAGGCTGAGGTGAGACTTCATCACCCTCTAAAACTACCTGAAAGGAGGTGGGTGAGGTAGTGAGGTGGGTGTTGGTCTCTTCTCCCTGGTGACCAGTGATAGGACAAGAAGAAATGGGGTCAAGCTGCACCAGAGGAGGTTCAGGCTGGATATTAGCAAAAATTTATTCAAAGGAATAGTGGTGAGGCCTTGGAACAGGCTGCCCAGGGAGGAGGTGGAGGCACCATCCCTAGAGATGTTAAAAATAAGGCTAGACATGCTGTTTCATAAGATGGTTTAATGGTTAGGGGTTGTGGGGTGGATGGTTGGACTTGATGATCTTGAAGCTCTTTTCCAACCTCAACGATCCTATGATTCTACTCACATTTCTAAGAACCTGGAGCAGTCTCGGTGGCCGTAGATCTCTGCCAGCCTCTTGGGAGTATCACCAAAGAGGTCGGGCACATCCATGGCAGCGTGCAGGGAATGGAGGGTGCGGAGCACCCCCAGCCTCCCCGACTCAGCAGCCAAGTGAGCCGGTGTCCTTCCCACGTCACTCCGCAGGCAATGCCGGGCGCCGTGATCCACCAGGAGCTGGACCATGTCTGACTGCCCTTGTGTTGGGCAGCAAAACAGGGAGAGAAGATGCACCTGCATTAGCCTCCACACCTTTGGGATGCAGAAGACAGTCACACACAGTTGACCATAATTATTCCCACAGTCATATAAGGGTGGATTTCACCCACAACCCGGCTGTTTGATTTAGCAAATCAATGATAACAGAACATCCTGACTCCTTTTTTTCCAAACTAGGTGCTTCCAGGAAAAAAAAAAAAAGAAGTTGAAAAATAAAATAAATTTTAAAAGCCAAACAACTCAACAATAAAATCAAAAAGCTTTCTACTGATTTCTGAACAGCACATCTCAATTAGTCACCGACCAATTGGCTATTGTCTATTTTGTTGCTTCATTTTGGGTTTTTAGTTCAGTGCAAATAAAATTTAAACATTAAAAAAATGGAAACCTGTTAACAGCTTCACTATAACAAAAGATTGCATGACAGGGGATAGAGAAATTACTTGTTTTCATCCATTTTCATGTTTTTCTTACTTGTGGAATTGCTTGAAGAGAAAAAAAAAAAGGTTGTTTCTACCCAACTTCACACTGCCTTTACTGAGCTAGATTGTTCCCTATGGCACTTAGGTCCTGACACCCTCTCATCATCCTTTCACAATAACCTATTGATATGGAAGTGTGGATTTTTTCAGCCATGTCTTTCAGTGCTTAACATTTTGGATTTAACACAGATGGTCACAGCATTTATAACTCCACATTCCCCAATTTCATGCTTTGGCAATTTACATTTTTAATTACATTAACTTTTTATATATAATGTTGATATACATTAATGTATACACAAAACAGCTTTTCTTAAATAGCTCAGTTCCCTTTTCTGCTTCCCAGTGAGCAATCAGAGCAAAAGTAAAGCACAGTATCAAGAGTAAACCAGCAAATCATAAGATTTCTGAGCAAAGACAGATGCCATGATGTGAGATCCCAGCATGTAACAAGCACCCTGGCACAAAGGAGTACAGGTCCAGTTTCTCATTTTACAGTGTCCATTATATGCTGCTGCATTTCAGAGAATCACAGACTGGTTTGGGTTGGAAGGGACCTTCAAGATCATCTAGTTCCAACCCCCCTGCATGGGCAGGGACACCTCCCACCAGACCAGGTTGCTCACAGCCCCATCCAACCTGCCCTTGAACACTGCCAGGAATGGGGCTTCCACAGCTTCCCTGGGCAACCTGGGCCAGGGTCTCACCACCTTCATAGTGAACAATTTCTTCCTAATGTCTAAACTAAATCTCCCCTCCTTCAGTTTTAATCCATTACCCCTTGTCCTCTCACTACAAGCTCTTGTAGTAAAGTCTCTCCCCAGCTTTCCTGTAGGGCCCCTTCAGATACTGGAAGGCACGTATGTGGTCTCCCTGGAGCCTTATGTTCTCCAGGCTGAACAACCTCTTCTCGGGGCTGCAAAGGGATATTTGACTTTTAACAGACACTTTTGACAGTGAAGGATCAAATGGGAGCTGCAGGCAACTCTGGTCCTGTGTTGTTCATTCAACCAGGCAGGCTAAAAGAAGGGGAACGTGAAACACACTGTAAGTAGTTGGTTCTATCGGATTTGATAAATACCTGGTATAAATGCAGTGGGTTTGGCTTTCTGCTCACTCGTGCAGGTGAAACACCTCCTGCACCATATGAAGTCACCTCTTAGAAAAGTAATGTGCGGGACAAGCAGACATGCTATATGCACATAGCATGTAAATTGCAAATTTTCATGTGACAGGAAAAAAAAGTTAACAGATCCCTCTGATGGTAAATCCATACATGATTTTGGAGGCAAAGTTCCTATTCAAACTGATGTTTTTTCTCTTTTTGCTCCTTAGGTACAAAATGATCAGAGAGAAGCTGTGAGTAAAGCCAGCATTAAGTGCCATCATAGCAAGACAGAATTACAATCAGCATCATCTTTTATGACACTAATGCTGCAGTAAAAGAGCAGGGAGTGCTCTTACCTGTTGCAGCAGCCCAGTGCAGTGGGGTCCTGTCATGCCAGTCAACATCCTTCTGGTTTGGGTCACAGCGCCCTGTCCTCAAAATCTCTTCCACCAGGTCGTAGTCCCCCGAAGCCACAGCTGCATGGAGCTCTGTCATGCCACAGGCTTCAGAAAGGTGCCTGGTAACAAGGCAATGCCATGCAGTGGGTGTTCACTGGTGTATCAGTGAATTTCTAACAGATCAAGCAGCATCTGGATTAAAAATGAGATATGCATTGTGAGAAACTAGGGTTATACTGAAAAAAAGAATAAAACTGATAAATGAGAGGAAGAAAAAAGTAATTCTCTTCAAGCCAGTGATCACAGACTGATGGTGATTTTTAGTTTACAGTCAGGGGAACCTGGAGCAAAGTGCAGTCCTTTATATAAAGGGTTTGTTGATAAAAGCACATTGCCTTTCTGAAGGATGTTGCTAACGAACAGCCAGTTCAGGCCAAACATTGACCACAGGTCTGTTGGTGCTCATGTACCATGGAAACTGGCTCCTCCTTTGATGATGCTGCAGATCCATTATTGGTAGTTTTACTGCAAAGAAATAATTGTCTGGGTAAGTCTCTTCTGATGTTCTCTGTTGCAAATAATCAAGCTATGTCATACTGCTTAAAAATCTAATCTCCATAGCTGTGCTTTCTGCTTTCCAGCCCCATATAACTGAGCTCCATCAAGAAATGCAAGCAGATCTTCAGTGCCTGCAAGGATGTGGATTTCCATTATTGTATCTGTGCCAGTGGGTATTTCTTTGCTGCTTTTTCTGGCAGGGAATTTAAACAACTTGCAGGGATCACTATGGTGCCCCTGAGGATGGAAACACTGCAATATTTTCTCCAATCTGTCCAAATCAATTGTAGAATACTTTTATATTCCCGTAACAACAGCTGGTCTTGAGCTAATTAGTCCAGTTCCCCTCCTAAAACAGAAGAGTTCTAGGATATGCTCCAGCTTTTGCATTGTGTTTACTTCAGGGGGTAATTTTCACAGTGTGATTGCCATGTCCATTGTGTTGGAAAGGACCAACAGTGGAGTTTCCAGAGGCCAATGTCAGGAAGATTTGCAGTACAAGGGGCTACATCCTGGGAGCCAGGGGTGGATGGGGCCGTTTCTCTGCTCCCAGCTCCCATATACATCCCAACTACATCCCAAATCCAGGCTGGAAGGTCACACCACCATCTCCAGTCTGCCTTCTTCTAGAAAAAAAGGATAAGATACAAAGGTCAGAAGGAATCACAGCCTGTTTCCCTAGGTGGTTGGACTGTATAGATCCAAGAGAAAGACCCATACATGACTTCTGTTAAGTTTGACCCCTGCAGATGTGGTAATAACAGAACATATATAATAAATTCTGCAGCTCCTCAATGGGCCACAAAAGTATCATCAGCTTTTGGCATGTCCCTGTTCCTTTAATCATTCATGCACCACCTCCTCATCACCATTGCTTCTCACCAACTTTAAAGAACCTGTTTCTTTAACAAACAGAGGTCTTCATGCTTGTCTTCCAAGACCTTTCATGAGCACTAAATCTATCCTGAAAACGTTAAACTTCAATGCACCCAGCTCATCAGTGAAAGGAGCACTGCACAAAAATACATGACAAAAATATATCTCGGACATTTTCACACAACTTACTATTTTCCAAGGAAATGCCAACAAAATTTGAAGTTTAAATACAGAACTTAAGATTTCAAGCACCTTTGTGCTCTGTTAGTTTCAGATGGTGCCTGCAAAGGGAGAGGAAGTGGCCTGATCCCTCCCCAAGAGCTCGTATCAGCTCTCCAAGGAGACAATCCACGGATGCAGCTTCCGAAGCAACTCAGGATAAGCCAGATCTCACCCTCCCTCCCCCGCCGCCTCCCTTTCCCAGCCCCAAACCTCGTGTGGCCGTTTCACGAGCTGCATCAACCAGCGGCAAACTCCGAAAAAAAAAAAATCTTTTATTATCGGTGCTGGTTTTAGGGTTAATTCCCGAACTTGAGCGTTCTGCAGGAGGGCAAACGCCTGCGCTGGGCAAACGGGGGGGCTGCAGATCCTCCTCTTCAGCAGGCACCTGCACCGGGTGCGCCCCAAACCGCTCCAGAAGCTGCACCCAGAAGTGCGATCTGCTGCCTTAGGGGTTGGCTTGTTTGTTGTTTTTTTTTCATAGAATCATAGAATCATAGGGGTTGAAAGGGACCTCGAAAGATCATCTAGTCCAACCCCCCTGCCAGAGCAGGGTCACCTAGAGTACATCACACAGGAACTCATCCAGGGGGGTTTTGAGTGTCTCCAGAGAAGGAGACTCCACAACCTCCCTGGGCAGCCTGTTCCAGTGCTCTGTCACTCTCACAGGAAAGAAGTTTTTTCGGATATTCACTTCGAACCTCCTATGCTCCAATTTACACCCATTACCCCTTGTCCTATCACTGGTCATCACTGAGAAAAGCCTAACTCCGTCCCCCTGACACTCACCCCTTACATATTTGTAAACACTGATGAGGTCACCCCTCAGTCTCCT